GGGCAGAGGATTGACACTTATGCCCACATGAACGGCTGGACCAACGGGGCTTACTCACTGATGCAAGACCAGCTGGGCTACAGCCAGCACCCGGGCATGAACAGCCCGCAGCTGCAGCAGATGCACCGCTACGACATGACGGGCCTGCAGTACAGCCCCATGATGTCCACGGCCCAGACCTACATGAACGCCGCCTCTACCTACAGCATGTCCCCCGCCGCCTACGGCCAGCAGCCCTCCACGGCCATGAGCCTGGGCTCCATGGGCTCCGTGGTGAAATCCGAGCCCAGCTCGCCGCCCCCGGCCATCACTTCCCACTCGCAGAGGGCCTGCCTGGGAGATCTGCGGGATATGATCAGCATGTACCTGCCCCCCGGGGGGGATGCCACAGACCCTTCCGCCCTGCAGGGCAGCAGGTTACACAGCGTCCACCAGCACTACCAGAGTGCCGGGACTGCCGTGAATGGTACCGTACCACTAACTCACATATAAACTTGGCTGCTCCGGACGGCTCCCGTCTTAATCCCTAACCCCACCACCGCTCCCTGACTACACCGGGACGTACGGCAGTGTTGCTCGGCTTAGCAGACTTAATACTAACTTTGGAGAAATTTTAAAAAGGAAATCCGTTAGTTGTGTCTTTTTTTTTTTCTTTTTTTTTTTTTTTTTTGTACAAAACGATAATATTTGAGCAAGCTGTTATTTTAATAGAGCACAACTCCTGCCTCCTAGACGCCGCTGTGAAGTTTTCAAACCACGGCAACTCCTTTCCTGGTTTCGGCTAGGTTGGGCACTGTTTTATTCGCTTAAAAGTTTTTCAAAGATCTTGCATCTTCCAGTTTGATTTGTAGCGTTGCAATGACATAAAGAAACAAAAACCGCGGGCTTTTGTTTTTAAACTCGGTTGTTCGCATTATCGTTGTGGTTTATTGTTTTGTTCTTTCTGCCTTACCGACCCTCGCTTGGTTTCTATCCACAATCTGTAGCTTTCACGAGTTTTTAACTTTAGGATTTATTCCTTAAAAAATGGGAGGTGGGAGAGAGCAGAGCTGTGCGGGTCGCAAACGCATTTCTTTTATTTATAGTAAGTTGTGTGTCTTGGTTTTTCTTAAGCTGTAAACTTATGTAAATCGGTTTGTGAATTTTACTGTGAACCATGTTTTGACATATCGGATGAAGAAACGTTTTAGTTTTGTTACCGGATTCCTTCCAAAAAAAAGTCATCGAAATATTCCTTCCTTGTCCCTAGTCCTCGTTTGCTTCCTTCTTCCAAACGAAGAGAGTTCAATAAATTTTATATCAGGCACGACGGCAGTCTTCGGACGGTTTGTGCGGGAGGGGAGTGCGCGACGGGGCTCCTTCCC